TCCTCCATAAAAGATCCATGGTTGTCCCTCTGATGTGAGAGATTTTAACCAGTGACTGGTAAGTGGCCCAAGTCGCCCTCCAGTGCGGCTGTTGCTTAAAGACCTAAGAGACAGTGGACAGAGGAAAGGTCACTGTCTTTGAGTGAGACTGACCTGGTTTCAGATGGCTATATGGTCCTTGGCCTCAGTTTCCCCATTTATAAAATGGGACTAATATTAGCACTCACCACCCAGGATTGTCATGCAGTGATAAATATGTGTGCCCAGCACACTACTGTCACATCTCGGAAAATGCCAACTTCCCTTCTCCTTCCACCCACTCTCCCAAATGCTCCCCCTTGGACTTTGACCTTGGCTGTGCCCAGGAGTGACCCACTCCAGGTTGCTCCCTCCCACCTGGCTGCAGTTTGGCTTCACCCATTACCATATAGCCTCCCTCGGCCAGTGCTCTGAGTAGATACAGCTCCTTGCTTTGCTGTCCAGGGGTAATCAAAGTCTCCCTGCGTCAGGAGGGGTGGTCCGTTGGGGTCTGTTTGGGAACCGTGGCACATTCTGCATGGTGCTGCCCCCTGATCCAGTCCTGCCCCTGGCAGGCCAGCTGCACTTGCACTTTGGGGGCCTGAAGCAGAGCTGGGCCTTGCCTCACCTGGCCTGAGCAGGGCATCCTTCAGTGTTGAGGCCCTTGCTTTCCCTGGGATCTGCTCACTGGAGAGAATCTTGGCCTAGAAGTTATGGGCAGCAGCTACTTTAATTTCTGACTCTTTTTGAGTCAGAGTGGATGAAAACTTGGTGTCAGTTAAGAGATGCCATTGGAAGGCTCATCGGGTACCCCAAGAATGAGTCCAAGGGTCCTCAAAATGTCAGAGTCAAGGCACGTGGCACATGGCCTGGCTCCTCAGCAGAGCAGCACCCCTGGGGCTACAGACCAGGCCATTTGTCCTCCGTGTGGACCAGGCGACTCAGAGCAGCAGGCCAGTGAGGTGCTTTCCCAGTAGCCCCACCCTTTGCTGTCTTAAGTGAGGCGGCAAGAAGCCAGTCAGCACGTTTGGGCTTCACAACTGCAGAGCGTGGCTTCTGTCCCAGGCCCTCATTTCTGACGCATGGAGGTTTGGGGAACGCTATCACCACGCGAGTCCCAGGAAACAGGCTGATTGAAACCGTACCCTTGTCTGAGCCTCAAAGCAGCTGTCTTAAACACTGGCCTGCTCAGGTTCCCAGGTGGGAGCTGCATTCAGTTGACTCCCAGATGTACCTGAGAGCACCTGTTTGCTATCCTGCTTTGTTTGGTAACCCGATCCTATCCTGGTTACCAGAATGTGTGGTGGTGGCAATAAAATAGGCAAAGGATGAGTGGACTTTTGACAAACTATACTTTGTGGTTATTCTTTATTTAAAAATCCTCCAATTGAACACATACTTTGTGCTTAGACACTATAGGTAAAGACTGACCTTATGGAACTCATGGCCTTACAGGAAAGGCAGACGCAGAGATAACAAGTGTCAAAGGCAAGGAAATCATCACAAGTGTGCAAATCGTTGAGAGGGGGAAGCACGGGGTGTGGTGGGAACATGGAAGGGCATCGGGGAGGCCCTCTTAAGAGAGTCACCCCTGGGCTGAGGCCTGAAGGATGGGGAAGAGATAACTTCTGAGTGGGATGGGGGGAGAGATGTTGAGGCGTGGGAGGTGCCAAGGCCCTGAGGCAGACAGGAGCTTGGTGATTTCCAGAACAGAGAAACCCAGCAGGACTGGAGCACAGATATCAGGGGAGAGGAGGAGGGGCTGGGTGGGGGCCAGACCACCACACACTGGGACGGATTTGTGTTTGTGGGTAAGAGAGAGAAGAATCCAGGGGCTTAAGGAGCATCCCCATGCATGTCAAGGCTCCATCCTGCTCTCCATCCTGCCATCCTTAGGATGTGGCTCTTGTTTTTATTCTCACAAGATGGCTGCTGGAGCTCCAGCCATCATGTCTACATTCCAGGCAGGAAGAAGGGGAAGGGCAAGATAAGAGGGACAAGCAGTCTATTTCTAAATAAAGTCCAATTCGTAGACATTGAGGGTTAGCACATGAACGTATCTTTTCAGAGAACACAATTCAACCCACTACAGCACGTGAAAGGACTAAAGCGCTGCTGGATGCTGGCTTTGCTAAGCTGGTCTGCTCATTCCCCCCCCCCTCCCCACAGAGCATAAAAAGACAGCCCAGGACTTAGGGAGGCAGGTTTATTTCCAAAATTTCAACCCGTTGCACGGCACTGATTCCTCTCCCCAGCCCAGTCTCCTTCTTCTCTTATTAAAGGGCAAAAGGAAGGGTTTGGGCTCCCAGCACATGCCTCAGTTTACCTCGGCAAACACTTGTTGAGCACTGAGGATGCAAGGGCCTTGAACCGTGGGCACAAAGGTGACTTTGCCTGTCCCTGCCTGTAGGGGAGAGGCAGACATTTAAACAACAGGCCGAAGAGTATCTAAACTTGGTTTTCTCTCTTCAGACAAAATTTTAGGCTAAACAGCTTTTATTTATTTATTTTTTAATCTTGTTTTGATGCCGCGACTCAGATTAATTTATGCCCTTTCAGAAACCACTTTCTTATTTGAACTGAGGCAGGGAAAGGGCGGGCTGTAGCCGTGGCTGTGGCAGGCGGTCCCGCTGAACCTACCCTGGCTTCAGAGCTGGGGTCCTGCCGATGGCCAGAGTTATCCAGGGCCCCTACATACTTTTGTTTTGAGGTGGAATCAGAACCGTGCACCTGCGGATCCCAGGAGGCAGGATGAAGACCATCCGGCTCTTCTGCTGGGCACCTTTGTGCACATCTGTCTGTATAAATTGGTGTACGTGGAGTTTTATTTCTTGGTGGGTGATTTTTTGTTGTTGTTGAGCATATTTATTTATTTATTTGTTTAGGTCAAGGTCGCAGTCCCCAGCAGAGACGGGTGGAGATATAAGAGAGAGAGACCAAAGTGGAGAAAACGAAGCATCGGTCTCCTGCGGGGGGTGGGGGGGGAGGCTGGAGCTCCAGGCGCTACTTTCCCGAGGGGAGCTGTGAGCCTGGCACAAGCGTGGCTCTTTGGTGCCCGCAGGCAGAGCTGGAGAGTGGGGCATCCTCCTCTGGACACCCTTGTGGGACCCCAGGGTTGATGGCTGTGGTAACAATGGGAGGCGGCTTCCTTGGCATGGGCACTTGCCCTCAGCCCAGGGACGGTGGCACCCTCAGGTGGCTTCTTGAGTAAAACCAGAAATCCAAGAAGGGTGGGCCCATGTGACTGTCACAAATAGTACACAAGCCACCCCTTGAGGACTCCCCAAAATATTGGGTGATGAGGGCCATTTACAAGGGGGTAGAAGTCCTCAGTGGGCAAGTAGGGGCAGAAAGTCAATATGAAGGTGACATCAAGCTGAGCACTGAAGGAGCAGGAAGGGGCCAGGGGAGAGGGCAGGGACGGTCACTGCAGGCAGGACGACCAGCATGTGCAGAGGCATGCGTGAGCGCTGGTGGCCCGAGACTATCAGGGGTCTGGTCCCGTGGCTGGGTGCACGAGGATGCACAGGGGGACAGGAGAAGTGAGGCTGGAGAGACGGTGGACTGGCTCGTGATGCCACCTCGCAGCCCAGGCTAAGAGCTTCGGGTTCTGTCTCCAGGATGGTGTCTGCGGGGAGCCCTGGATGGCTTGTGAACAGAGTGAGGGGGCCTCGCAAGTGTTTTGGTTTGGTTTGACTGCCATGCCGAGGATGGATGGAGGGGTGCGCAGTCTGGAGGCAGGAGGGGAGGAACGGAATACCCCCCGCCCCCCATTTCTTCCATGCATCTTCCCCCAGCCCACCCCAACCCCAGGTTCACACACACACACACAGAGTGTGTCACTCGTCAGAAGGGTAGGGTCTGCCTCCTGGCAGCCGAGGAGTGCAGAAACCCCTCGTCCCTGCTCATGCTGGGCCCAGGGCAAGGGCCAGCTGGGCAGCTGGTGGCTTGGCAGGGAGAACATGGTTCACTCTGCTGTGTGTGCAGCCACTGCCGCCGGGCAGCCTGATTCATGACCCACAGCGTCCAGGGCTCCTCCCAGGTCAGCAGCCCCATCTCTGTGGTGGTGGCTGCCAAGGGAACCTGCTGTCCTGCCTCCTTTCCTCGCGCGGCTGGTGCCCTTGGGTGGGCTCCAGGAACTGCCATGACATCGCCTCGACCCCTGGCTCTTCCACTCTTTCTGCCAGCTGTTTCCCCAGCCTCCTTTAAATCCTGAACCCACATGCTCCTCTGCAAGAGAGGCTTTACAGAACGAACCCCTAGTCTGCAGTGTTTTGGTTTATTCCTTATTTTGTCTCCACTGGGCACACACAGAGGCTCAAAAATATGTCTTAAAGAACTGTTCTTGCTTCTCTCCCTTTCTCAGCCCTCTGGTGACTGCGGCATGGCCTGTCTCATCTCTGCTGAGGGCATATTCTGTTCACATAAGTCCCACCTCCTCGATCAGACTAGCAACTCCCCAAGATCAAGAGTCAGCCTCCTCCTTTAGACGGGCACCTTCTAAGATCCAGTTTTTTCTTTTTCCTTAAATTGGATACTCCCCAAGAGCAGGGACCATGCCTCCCCCTTGGTCTGGGGGCTCCCTGATGACAAGGGTTCTGTTTGGGGCTGTCCTGTCTGTTTCTTCCTCACTTTCCAAGCCAAGCTCAGCCTTGGCTGTGCTCTGAAGGGACTCAGGGGCAGCAGGGTAAGCCTCCTGGCTTGTCTGGGAATGGCAGGGCTGAGCATCGGTATAACAGGCGTGGATTGGGCTGGAGCCAGACCTGTTGGGGCATGGCTAGGGGCCAGGTAGAGAGCTGTCTGGGGTCAAGGGGAGCCCAGGGGCTTCCAGGCCTAAACTAGCCCTCTGGGCCACAGGACCAGCACCCTGGGAAGATGGTGACTCCTTGTATTCAGAAGTCTGAGTGCAGAGGGGCAGAGGGTGGTTTCTGGCATGCCTGACTATTCATGCCTCCTGTGGGTTTTATCTTGGGTACCGGCAGGAGGATAATCACAGCTACTATGTGTCCCGTCTTTATGGTCCCAGCGAGCCCCGCAGCCGGCAGCTGTGGGTGGACGTGGCCAAGGCCAACGAGAGCCAAGTGAAGGTCCACAGGATCCTCTCCAACACCCACCGGCAGGCTTCGGTGAGTGCCCCTGCACCCAGCAGCACTGCCCTGGGCTGGGAGGCTGGGGGCCAGCCCACCCTGCTGTGATCTGGGATCTGGGAGGTACGTTCCAGGGGACCTGTGGGGTTCAGCCAGAGCAGGAGTACCCCACCCGTGGTTCTAGGGGCCTGCCCTGGCCATGACTGCCTCCCATGCTGTGCAGACAAGTGTGGGGCAGTGTGGAAGCCCAGCCTCTTGGCCTGCAGCTCTGCTGTGCTGACTCTCTCCTGTCCCCTGCAGAGAGTGGTCTTGTCCTTTGATTTCCCTTTCTATGGGCATCCTCTACGGCAGATCACCATAGCAACTGGAGGTAAGGCCATGTCAGTGGGGCTTGGGAGAGAGTTTGGAGATTTCAGCCTGAACTTGGGGGAGGGAGTGTTGGGGGGGGAGTTCCCTGGGGAGGCTGTCTCCAATAACAGGAGGGATCCATGTTGGGCTGTCTTGGGAACCCTATTCTCAAGAGAGAAGTCAGTGAATGTCAGGCCATCCCCCTTGTATCAGCTGACCTGCTGTGTGTGTGTGTGTGTGTGTGTGTGTGTGTGTGTGTCCATCTGGGCCAGCACAGGCCACTGCAGACAGCCCTGTATGCCTGTGTTTCTGAGTCTGTGAATGAATGGGAGACGGAGACCTCATACAGAGCCTGGGTTCCTGCGACCAGACTCCCCAATGATATGAGGAGCCCATCTTCAATTCCATGTCCCCTGTCCCCAGGGACGGGGAGAGGTGGGAGTCACCTCATCTTCTAGCCTCTTTGCCGTATGTCTGTGCCCACCTGAAGGGCAGGGAGAACTTTCTCTGCTCTGGGGCCCTTGTGTTTCATACATGCTAGACTCAGGGCCCACCAGATAGAGGTGGGGACAGAGGTGTGAGGCTTTCCCCCAGCTCCATCTGTATTACCCCTTCCTGTCCTCGGGGAAAGACCCCCAGAAGCAGTCCCTCTGGGCCATCCCTGATGACTCCTCTGCACCTCTCCCTACCCTAGGCTTCATCTTCACGGGGGACATGATCCATCGGATGCTCACAGCTACTCAGTACGTGGCCCCCCTGATGGCCAACTTCAACCCTGGCTACTCCGACAATTCCACAGTTGCTTACTTTGACAATGGTGAGACCAGATGTCAGAGTTTGTCTCCCAGCTCCAGGGATCCCTTGGTCCAGCCCCTTTAGAGGAGCCCAAGGCCCAGGGAGGGCCAGGGTCCCACAGTCCCACAGCCAGGCAGCCACCCCACCTTTCTGTGTGCAGCTTCCACATCTGTGTCATGGGGACAAAAATGCCTGCTGCCTAGCAGAATCTAACGAGATAAAATGAAAGTGCTTAGCTCTAAGTAGAGGTAAAATACACTTTAGGGGACTTTGTTGTTTCTCACTGTCACCAGAATGTCCCTTGAGCACCACACTACCCCAGAGAACAGACATTTCTCCTCTTTTTCATCTCAAAGGGCAGGATAAGCAAGAAGGAGGGGCGTGAGTGGGGTAAGAGATGATCAAGCAGTGTCCAGGGGCTGAAGCAGGACCTTCTGGCTTCTCTGCAGCTGGGAAGCCAGGCTGATGTTTCATTCAAAGGGAGCCAACCTGTGGCCAATCCACCCTGGCCACCGTTTCTGCTGGGCCCTGCTCCCTGCCCTACCTCCCTGTCCAGCCAGGTCTCTGCTTTTCCCCCAGGGACAGTCTTTGTTGTTCAGTGGGACCATGTCTACCTCCAAGGCCGGGAGGACAGGGGCAGCTTCACCTTCCAGGCAGCTCTGTATCGTGACGGCCGCATTGTCTTCAGCTACAAAGAGGTGAGAGGGCCTAGCTGCAGAGACAATTGGGTCTTGGAGCCTTTCTTTCGTTCAGCAAATATTAGTAGGGAACCCACAATGTGCCAGGCACAGGGCTCAGTGCTGGGTATGGAAGCTAATAAGATGGCTGTGGATAGGTCTGGCTGAGGAGATAGACAATAATTACAGGGACAAATGTAGAATCACCATTGTGACTAGTGCTGGTAACTAGAGGTGGCTGGTGCTAGCAGAACCTTTCACAGGGCTTTTCGCTTTGGTAGAGGTCAGGGGAGGCTTCACTGAGGAAAAATGTTGAAATCTGCAGGATAAATATCAGTTAAGGGAGCAAAGAGGAGAGTGGAATGTGTTCCAGGACAGAGAACAGCATGTGCAAAGGTCCTGTGGCAGGACAGAGCGTGGCTGGTAAAAGCATCTGGAAGAAGGCAGCACTGGCTGGAGGGGAGAGAGTGAGGGGCAGGATGGGGTGGGGGAACAACAAGACTTGCCTTTGAACAAGGTCATTGTGGCCTCGGAGTGGAGAACAGATTATTGGGGGCTCAGAGAGAATGCTGGGAGATGATTTAGGAGGGAGGTGATGGCCACTTGGAATAGGGAGAAGGAGAGAACTGGACAGATTTGAGAGCCACTTAGCAGGTTAATTAACAGTATTTGAAGATGTATTAGGTGAGGGAGGAAATGAAAGAAAAGGAGGGGCCGAGGGTGACTCCCAGGTCTCTGGCTTGCACGGAGATGCCACTCACCGAGACGGAGAGAACGTGCTTGGAGGTGGTGCGGTGAAGACTTGGAATGAGGGTGACACTTTGGGTTGGAGATGTCTTCGAGTCCTCCAGGAGGTGACGCTGAGCAGGCAGATGAGTCTGGAGAGCAGAGGGGACATCTGGGCTGGTCGAGAGTGTTTGTGGGTAGTTGGAGCCTCTTCTCCCCACTGCAGATCCCTATGTCGGTTCTGGAAATCAGCTCCTCCCAGCACCCTGTCAAAGCAGGTCTGTCAGACGCCTTCATGATTCTCAATCCATCCCCAGATGTGCCAGGTGAGTCCCCGGGGATCCAGCGGAGACCTCAGCTGGTAGGACTCAGCTGAGACTGAACCAACGCTGGCGGGGGCATGGCGGTGGCGGGGAGTAGCTGGCTGGCCAAGAGTTAGTGGGGACTGAGGAGGAGAGGAGGCAGGGTGAGTTCCAGCTCTTCTTTGTCACAGCAGAGGGATCATTTTCCCCAAAAAAATCTCCAGTGAGAGGCACTGCTCTGTTTGTTGAGGGGAAGGGGAGCCAGAGCCCTTCCGCTCAGCACCCGCTCCATTTAGAAAATTTCCAAAGACAACAAATTAGGGTGTCTGAGTCCTCTCAGAACACAACCACAATGGCCTCCCCACTCCAGATGATAAAAGGAGCATCACAGAGGTGTCAGGAGACAGGAATCCAGCCTTAGCCAGACGGTTAACTCTCCTTCAGCAAACCACATTGTCTCTCTAGTCTCAATTGCCTCATCTGTAAAATGGGGGAGTAGCTGAAGGGGTGCTTCATCCTCCTGGGTCCTCCTCCTGGTTAACTCTCCTTCAGCAAACCACATTGTCTCTCTAGTCCTAACTGCCTCATCTGTAAAATGGGGGAGTAGCTGAAGGGGTGCTTCATCCTCCTGGGTCCTCCTCCAGCTCTTTTTCTCCTGCTTCTGGCCCCCAGCCCATGCCCATGAGGGTCTTGGGTTCACAGTCCTGGGGAGGCTGCAGGTGTGCCATCTGCTGCTTCTAAACCCAGGGCTCAGGGACTTTTGAGCCTGATTTTTTTTTCCAGCCTGACTTTTTCTGCTGAGTTGTATGTGCAAAATTCCACCATGCAACCTGCAGGTCCAGGGAGAAACCCTGTCTGCTCTTTGCCATCCCACCTGAGCTTGATGGGGCCTGGAGAGGGGAAGAGGGGAAAGGAGAAGAGGTGGGAGAAGAAGGGGGGCATAGCTGAAGCCCATGGCACCCCTCTCATTCCTGCAGGGGAGACCAGGGGGTTACCAGCGGTGGCTCGGTCGTTGCTGGCTGGATGCAGGTGTCAGGGGCGTGTGGCTGAAACCCTCGGTCCCCCACTCCCTGGCTTGGTGTTATAGGTGTTCTTTGGTGATGTGAGGCCTTTGCTAGTTAATATCAAACTTTGTCTGTGGTCTGAGTATTTTTTTTTTCTTTCAGTTCTGTGTTGGATTATTTGCTGTTTCCACCACTTAAACTCTGCACTGGATGTGTGGCTGAAACCCTCGGTCCCCCACTCCCTGGCTTGGTGTTATAGGTGTTCTTTGGTGATGTGAGGCCTTCGCTAGTTAATATCAAACTTTGTCTGTGGTCTGAGTATTTTTTTTTTCTTTCACTTCTGTGTTGGATTATTTGCTGTTTCCACCACTTAAACTCTGCACTGGAACAAATTTGTTGTCCTTTGCTTACTTTTAAAATGAGGGAACTTCCTGTGGGGACCAGCACTTGAACCCTGTGGTTGAGCTAAATCACTGCTTTGCTGCTGATTCTCTGGGGAAGGCTTTTTTGCACCTCAGGTTTTAATTGTTGACCTCGTATGTACTTCCAGGTCTTGTAAGGTCTGGTACACCTGGATTGTGTGGAAACTCTGGACTGGGCCTGAGACTTTTCAGCAAAGTGCACCCTTTGCAGTTCCATATTCCTGACCAGTCTCCTCTGAGTGGTCCTGCACTGCTGTGGGGGCAGAGCTGTCCATGCTGTGCCCCAGTGTTCTCCTGGTGGCCCATCTCCCCTACCCCCTGCACTCCAAACACTTCCCATGGGATGGGCCATGCTCCGGTCCCTTGCGATGACTCACTGGCCTCTGAGTGGTTCCTTTTTCCAGTTTTTGTGGCTCCCTTGTGGGTCCATGGGAACCCTGTTAGTGGTCTTGCTGGCCTGGGAACCACCAAGGCCCTCTTCTCCCCTGCAGTCTCCATGCAACTCCATCTGCAGGGCACAGCAGCGACTTTTGCCAGCTCTTGCTCCGCGTGCTCACCAGGGCCAGCCTTGAAATGGCCAGGGCTCAAAATAGTGGGAGCGATCCTTTCTTTCTCCCATCGTGGCTTCTCCTGCCTTCGTGAACTCCGTAGGTCTCTGCTCCTCTTCCCCTCAGTTCTAGTGGCTCCAGCTTGATTGTCATTGCTTTTGAATAGTTGTAAATTGGTTGATTTGTGGGAGAGAGTGATGCTGGGGACTGTCTTTTCCGCAATCTTGGCCAGAGCCAGATTCTGGATATATTCTGCCTCAGGCCTCAGCACCCCAACCCGCCTTTAGGCACCTCAGTATTGGCCAGAAAGCCTGATGCATTCCTTTTAATGGCTGCATGATGGTCCGTTGCATGGATGTACCTTAATTTAACCTGTCTCCTGGGGATAGACTTTTCAGTTTTTTCTAGTCTTTTGCTATAAGGAATAATGCTGCAGGAGATACTTTTATGCCCCTTGTGAATATTTCTATGAGAAAAATTCTCAATAGTGGAGTCATTGGGCCAAAGGACAGGGGCATTTACGATTTTGACAGCTATGGCCAAAGCGAGCTCCATGGAGGTCCTAGCGCTTTACATTCCCTGTAGGTGGGCATGCCTGTCACCCGCTTTCCCACTTGCCATATGTCCCAGGGCAAGGGCTGGACTGCAGTGCTCTCATCTTCAAATGAGTAGCCACCAGCCCGTCAAGGGTTGTGGTGAGGATTAACAGATATGATGTGCGTGAAGCGCCAAGCACAGCGCCTGGCCCGGGCCATGGTGCCAGCGGAGGCCGGGTATTACCCGCCGAGCTCCTCTCACCCCAGTCCACACCTTCAGCTTGCCGAATGCGTGGCATGGTGGGGAGGGTCGACATTCAAGGGTCAAGGGGCTGGTCGATGGGGCCGGGTTCATTCCCAACAGGCCAGGAGCTCTTTCCCTCCTTCAGAAATTCACCAGCCCTTGCTTCCTCCACCTTCCTAGAGCCTCCCTTCTGTTCTCCCCTGCTCCCCAATGTCTGCCTGCTCCCAGCATTCCTGGCTGCACAGAGACCTGATCCCATCAGCACATTGTCTCTCCGTGAGACCAGCTCCCACACACCCTCCCCACACAACACCGTATAAAGCTGACGGAGGTGGCAGAGGGGAGGAAGTCAGCGTGTAGAGACATCTGATTTTCATATGCTTCTGGAAAGAGGTTTTGTGGTCAAGTTTTTGCTGCTTCTACTTGGGCCTAATTCAGTTCGCAGCATAACAAGGGTGGTCCCAGTCTGTGGTTCTAGGAGTAAATGGCTCTGGTGGGCTTGGGGGCAAAGCGCCCACTGCAAGCTGCAAATGATGAATCTCGCCTCCTTGGTTGCCCGTTGCTTTGGTTATGGCCTCGATCCGCCCATGGGTCAGTTGGCTGGTGGCCGTAGCCCAGGCCTGGCCTGCTGCAGAAGTGAGGAGACACCCTCTCTTCCTTTCCTCCCCTTCGCCCTTTCCGGGCCTCATGCCATCTGCCTCATCTCCTCCACAAAACCGCCTTTGATGCCGTGATTCATTGCCAGCCGCGCCACTGCCGCCCCCGTCAGGACCTTGTGCCCAGTGGCCCTAGACTTAGCTGTAAAGCCTCGGCACAGCGCTCGTCACACAGCAGGCACTTCATGCACATGAACTTCTCCCTCCTTCCCTTCCTCAGACATGCCTCGAACTTCCCGACTGCTCCTTGCATCTTTGTGCCTTTGGTATGTTGCTGCTACACTAGGAACCGTTTTCTAGCCAACAGGACTGTCTTCTGGTCTTTGCTGTATGTATATGGAGCAGTTTCGAACTTGCACACAGAAGTGACAACGGAAAACTTCCTTAAGCTCAAATTTGTGGCTTCCATTCCTCCATGCTGTGGGGCCCTGTGGACATCACATTATTGTTTAAGATCTAATTGCAACCCTAGATATGAGATCCAGACCTGATAGTCATCTAGTATACCTCATATGGTTGTGTCAGTTGTAAAATATCGAAGTTCTTTCATTCTTGTTGGTAAATAGCTGCTGGCTTGAGCCCCCTGAGTACCTCTCACCACCACTCCTGGCCTCTCCCCTGTCCCCCTGAACTCCCATGCTCTGTCAGTGGCACAGCAAAGACTCCAGGACATGGCTCGGTGGCACCAGCCAGCATCCGCTCTACGTGGTTGGTTAATGTACTGAGCCAGTTGTTAAATCGTCCTGGTATCACCCTGATTGCATTAGTTAGCTACTGCTGTATAACAAATCGCTCCAAAATTTAGCAGCTTAATACAACAAACATTATCTCAGAGTTTCTGTGGATCAGAAAGCAAAGTGTGATTTGGCTGGGTTCTCTGGTTCATAGGTTGCAATCAAAGTGCTCGCCAGGGTTACGTTTTCTCAATGATCGAGGAGTGAGGGGAGGGGGATCCACTTCCAGGAGTTCTCACAGGTCATCAAGGAGGCCCCCTTGGCCCCTTGCCTTGTGACCCTCCCCACAGGGCAGCTCACAGCCGGGCACTGGCTCCTATCAGAACATGCCGGCAAGACGGCAGCAGAGTAGAAGCAAGGTGGAGACCTGAGTCTTTTGTAACCTAATTTTAGAAGTGACATCCTGTCATTTCTGCTATATTCTACTGCTTCTAACCAGTAGAACATAGCAGAAATGACAGGATGTCACTGGGTCCAGCCCACACTCAGGGACGGGATTACACAAGGGCATGAGTACCAGGAGGCCAGTTCGGAGTGTGCCTGCCACCCTGATCATCATCCCGTTCCTCAGGCACTGAGCTTTACAGTATCTTACTGGATCTTCCCCCTATCGGTGTAGCGAAGTCTGTATATTTATCCCTTTCTAAATGAGGACACAGATGCTCAGAGAGGTGGAGCAACTTTCCCATGGTCACACAGCTATGAAAGGAAGAACTCAAATCCAGATCTTCTCAATTCAAATCCCAGAGTCTGCCACTGAGTCTCTCTGAATCCGACCCACCCCCATTCCACCCAGAGGAATGAATCCTTCCCTCCTCAGCTCACCCAGACACCCACAGCCCTATGTGCACACACCCCAGGCTGTTTCTTGGGAGAGTTC